CACTCCTGGTGGGACTGTCAGTTGGTATGACCATTTTGGAAAACTAACAATATCTACTAAAGTGAAATACAAGCCTACATATGTACCAGTGGTTACACATGCTTACCAAAAACTTGCACAGGAATGCTCACCACAGCTTTGTTCTTAGTATCCAAATAAGATAAAGTTCAAATGACCCTCAAGGAGAAAAGGAAAACTAAATAGTGGTGTTTTTACACAATGGAATCCTGTACTCATCTGTCAGTTTGTTGTCCTGTGGTAGCTTACATGTTGTTATGATGATGGAAGCTACGCCATTGGTATTTTAAATGCCAGCAGGGTCACCACCCATGGTGGACATCTTTCAAAGGAGCTTCCAGACTAAGACAAATTGGGAAGAAGGACATGGCCAAGTACACTTCTGAAGACATTGGCCATTGAAAACATTATGAATAGCAAGAAAACATTGTCTGCTATAGTGCCAGAAGATGAGTCTCTCAGGTTAGAAGGCACTCACAATACTACGGGGGAAGAGTAGAGTTGACATTAATGATGTGATGGAGTAAAGCTTTCTGTACCTTCATTTGCTGGTGTGGCATGACTCAAAACGAGAAGAAACAGTTGCAAATATCCATTAATCAGAAAGTGGAATGTACAAATTATGAATCTAGAAAAATTAGATGTTGTAAAAATGAAATGGAATGCATGAAGTTTGATATCGTTATGTAGCGAGCTGACATGGACAATGATACAGGCCATTTTGAATCAGACAATCATATGGTCTACTAGAAATTACAAATTGAAGAGGAAGGTGAGGCATTCACTGTCAAAAAGAACATTTGAAGCTCTATCCTGAAGTGCATGCTGTTAGTGATAGGATAATATCCATATGCCTACAAGGAAGAAAAGTTAATACTACTATTTTTCTAAAATACGTACCAATCACTACAGCCAAAGATGTAGAAATTGAAGATTTTTACCTATTTCTGCCGTTTGAAATTGATCATACATTACAATCAAGATGTATTGATAATTATTGCAAAAGTTAGAAACAGAGAAGCAGCATATTGGTAGTTGGAAAACGTGGCTTTGGTGATAGAAATGATTGTGGAAGTTACATGAAAGAATTTTGTAAGACCAACAACTTATTCATTGCAAATACCTTTTTCATCAACATAAAAAGCAACTATACATGTGGACCTCACTGGATGGAATACACAGGAATCAAATCAACTACATCTGTGGAAACAGACAATAGAGAAGCTCAAGATCAGGGGCTGACTGTGGAACAGATCATCAACTACTTATAAATTTAATTTGAAGCTGAATAAAATTAAAACAAGTCCATGAGACCCAAAATATGATCTTGAGTTTATCCTACCTGAATTTAGAGATGATCTGAAGAATAGATTTGATACATTGAGTACTGTGACCAAAGACCAGAGGAGTTGTGTGATGACATCAAGTATATCATACATGAAGAAAGCAAAACGTCATTAAAAAGACAGGAAAGAAAGAAAAGACCAAAATGGATGTCAGAAGAGACTCTGAAAGTTGCTTCTGAATGTAGGGTAGTGTCTTGGTTCTCTAGGCTGCTATAATAGGAAGACCATAAGTGGATGGTTTAACAAACAGGAATTTATTCTTTTATGGTTAAAAAAAATCCAAAAAACCCACTGCCATAAGTTAATTCCAACTCATAGCGACCCTTATTGGTTTCTAAGGTGATAAATCTTTATGGGAAGTAGATTGCCCTGTCTTCTTTCTGCAGAGTGGCTGGTGAGTTTGAACCACCAGCCTTCTGATTAGTAGTCAAATGCCTTAGGCACTGCACCACCACCGCTCCTTTTTTACAGTTTAAGAGGCTAGAAATGTGAATTCACAGTGTTGGCTCTAGGGGCTGGGTGAAGGCCCCTCAATCTTAGGCTTCAGCTCTGCCTCTTGTTCCGGGCCCACTGGAGCTGGAGGCATCTTCTAGCTCACACAGCTACTGGATGCTGAGGCTGACAAACCAAACCGAAGACTGGCAGAAAAAATGTCACATTCTTAACATCAGGAAACAATATAGCAGGCCACTGGTTCAAGTCCAGGAACTGGAGATGAAGACTTGGTCAAGTGCAGGATCCAAAATGTACCAAGAAGCTAGAGACTTTTCTCAAAGCTTCTCCATATATACTGGAAGCAGGCCACACTGCAAGGGCAACTTCCTTTCAGCCAATTGGGTCCTCACAGCAGATTCCACCATGGGGGTGATTACATGATGGGGAATAATTATATCCACTGTTAAAACGTTCAAAACCACGGTCTAGCCAGGTTGACACACAACCTTAATTACCGCAAGTAGCTAAAGCAAATGGAAGAACTGAAGAATTAAAAGACCTGAACTGAAGATTTCAAAGGGCAGCTGAGAAGACAAGTAAGGTATTATAATGAAATGTCCAAAGACCTAGAGTTAGAAAACCAAAAGGGAAGACCACACTGGGCCTTTGTCAAGTTGGAAGAACTGAAGAGAAAATTCATACCTCAAGTTGCAGTATTGAAGGATTCTATGGGCAACATACTGAACAATGCCAGAGGCATCAGAAGATGATGAATGGAATACACAGTCACTATAACAAAAAGAATTGGTTGATGTTCAGCTATTTTAGGATGTAGCATATGATCAAGAACTGATGGCAGTGAAGGAAGAAATCCAAGCTGCACTGAAAGAATTAGCAAAACTCTAGGAAGTGACAGATTAACTGTTGAGATGTTCAACAAATGGATGCAGTTCTGGAAGCGCTCACTTTTTTATGCCAAGAAGTTTGGAAGACAGCTCCCTGGCCAACTGGCTAGAAGAGATCCATATTTGTGCCCATTCCAAAGAAAGGTGATCCAACGGAGTTCAGAAATTATTGAAAACTATCATTAATAGTACATGCAAGTGAAATTTTGCTGAAGATAGTTCAAAAACAGTTGCAGTAGTTTTATTGACAGGGAACTGCCAGAAATTTAGGAGAGGATGTGGAACAAAGGGCATCATTGCTAACATCAGATGGATCTTGGCTGAAGCAAAGAATACCAGAAAGGTGTTTACCTGTGTTTTATTGACTATAGTAAGTCATTTGACTATGTGGATCATAATAAATTTTGTGGATAACATTGTGAGAAATGGGAATTCCAGACACTTAATCATGCTCATGAGGAACCTGTACATAAATAAAGAGACAGTCCCTTGAACAGAGCAAGAGGATACTGCATGGTTTAAAATTAGGAAAGGTGTGCATCAGGGTTGTATCCTTTCATCACACTTATTCAATCTGTATGCTGAGCAAATAATCTGAGAAACTGGACTATATGAAGAAGAATGCAACATCAGGATTGGAGACCCCCCCCCCCCCGTTTAACCACCTGCTGTATGCAAAAGACACAATTTTGCTGAAAGTGAAGAAGACTTGAAGCTACTGTGAAGGTCAAAGATTACAGCCTTCAATATGGATTAAACCTCATCATAAAGAAAATAAAATTCTTTACAACTGGACCAATAAGTGACATCATGATAAATAAGAAAAGATTGTCAAGGATTTAATTTTACTTGGATCACAATCAACCCACGGAAGCAGCAGTCAGGAAATCAAATGACACATTGCATTGAACAAATCTGCTGCAAAAGACCTCTTTAAAGTGTTAAAGGGAGCTCTGGTAGAGTAGTGCCTAAGGCACTTGACTGCTAACCAGAAGGCTAGTGGTTCAAACCCACCAGCCACTCTTCAGAAGGAAGATGGGGCAATCTACTTCCATAGTGATACTGCCTTGAAAACCCAAGGAGGGGTCACTATGAGTAGGGTCCAACTCAACGGCACATAACAATAACAACAACAACAACAAAAGTATTGAAGAGTGATGATGTCAGTTTGAAGACTGAGGTGTGCCTGACTCAGGCCATGGTATTTTCAATAGCCTCATTTGCTTTTGAGAACTACACCACAAATAAAAGGACTGCAGAAGAATTTGCATTTGAATTGTTGTGTTGGAGAATACTGAATGTACCGTGGACTCCTGGGAGAATGAATAAATGTGTCTTGGAGGATGTTCAGATGGAAAGATCCTTATAAATGAGAAGGACCAGACTTCATCTCTTGTACTTTCATCAAGTTGTCAGAAGGGACAAATCCCTGGACAACACTAAAGCAGAGAGTCAGAGACAAAGAAAAAGATGCTCAACAAGATGGATTGACACAGTGGCTGCAACAAGGCGCTCAAGTATAGCAGCAATTGTGAGGACGGTGCAGGATCAGGCGGTGCTTCGTTCTGTTGTGGGTATTAGTCATGACTGACTCAACAGCACCTAACAACACAACTGTAATAGAAAAGAACAAACTGTTGCCACATGCATTGGCAGGGATACATTTTATAGGCATTACACTAATGAAAGAACCAATCATAAAAGTGTACGTATGTATGATTTATGTAAAATTAAAGAACAGGCTAAAGTAATTTATGGTGAGCAAATTACAATAATAGCTATCTTTGCAGGATGTCAGTGGTGACTGGAGGGCCAGAAATGGTCTATGTTTAATATATGTGGTGGTTACTTGGGGGTATGTATACATAAAGTTTGTTTAGTTGTACAGCTACAACTAGTGCACTTCATTACATGTAAATTATGCTTTGATAAACAGGTGAAATAGGTTTATGGAGCACATGTCATGTAACATACATTTGGGTACACTAGTGAACAACACCTTCCTGCCCACCCAGTGCTGACTATCACATGCAAAAGACAACAAACTAGCAGTTGAAATGGAATATCTTCAGCTACTGTCCTCCAGCCTCAGAAATTTCTCTTGATTCAGGACATCCCCAAATCACAGCTCTTTGACAGGGGTCCTTGTGTTTGTGAACATGAGTTTAACAACCCACAAGACACATGATATCATTGGGCTCAAGGGGGAATTTATTTAACTTTGATGCTTTGGGGTCTGTGAGATGGGTTGGTACCAGGTTTATGTTTCTGTCTGTGTGTCCCTCCCTGTCCCCAGAGCCCAAAGCGGTGTTTGCCAAAGAGCAGCCAGCACGGAATGAGGTGCAGGCCGAGGCAGGGGCCAGCGCCACGCTGAGCTGTGAGGTGGCCAAGGCCCAGACGGAGGTGGTGTGGTACAAGAACGGGAAGAAACTGAGTGCCAGCTCAAGGGTGCATGTGGAGGCTGCAGGCCGGCGGCGGCAACTGGTGATACAACAGGCAGGCAAGGCAGATGCTGGGGAGTACATGTGTGAGGCTGGGGGCCAGAAGGTCTCTTTCCACCTGGACGTCAAAGGTGAGTCCTCTGGGGTGATAGTCGTGGAGGGCTTGTTTGGAGATAATGATGTGACTGCTTTTTCTCCTCAACAGATCTTTGTGCTATTTCTACTAGCCTTTGTGTCTCATACTGTCCATCCTCACACCTTATTAATTTTCTACCCAAGGTTGAAGCCACAGGAGGCTGCTTGGGATTGGTGTGTAAGGAAGGGAGAGAGGCAGTTTTCCCTCAAGTAGTTTTCCCAGGCGGGAATGCTTAATCACACAGTCCTAGCCCCTGCCCAGATCCCTTCTTTCTTGATTTCCAGGGCTCTAGACTGGGCAATGTATTTCCATAGAGATACTGCCTTGGAAACCCAAGGAGAGATAGCTGTGAGTTGGAATTGACTCAATAGCAGTGAGGATTTTTTTTTTTTTTTTTTTAAGTTTTTGGCTCAGTCCACTGTTTAGAACCTGAGGTACACCAGGTGATTCTCACCTGGGTTATTTGAATATCCTCCTGTTAGCTGGTCTGGGAGTTCCCACATGTTCTTATCCAGTACTACATGGGGTTTCTAACTAGCAAGAGTTGTTTGAATCCCATTGAGGCAGGGGAGGGGAGACTTAGTCACCCAGTAATGCTAGCATTATTAAGACTGAACTTTGGATTATCACAATTTTAAGTGTTCTGGGATACTTGTGCCTACTTCCATATAGATAGTGAAAGTCTCTGTGTGTCTTTAGGTAGCAAACTCTAGAGTCATGTTGTGTTGCAATGTCTATGCAAAGTAAATGAAGAATGGAGGATTGATAGGTAAGCTCCAGTGAGTTTTAGAATTCTCTTTTTAAGCAAATTTTATTTTTTCTTTGTCTTCAGTTAGAACATTCTTTGTGAAATTTCTCTTGGTATTTGATATATAAATTTAGAAATGAAGGGAATAAGTAGCTCACACTACATCAGCATACCTTATTAAGGAGAAGTTAGTTACTCTGATAACAGCCACTGATCTCTAGTATTTCATAAACATTTTTTTAATCAGTATGTGTATATCTTCTTGTCTGGTTCATAGGGAAGTCTTGGAACTAATTTTATTTTCCTTTTATGAAGAGTCTTAACCTCAAGTTAATTTTTTTTTTTCTTTCTGAAAAAGACCTCTTTAAAGCTTGAAAATGCAAAGATAGCACTTTGATGACTAAGGTACTCCTGAGCCAAGTTATGACCTTTTTTTTTTTTTTTTTTAAATTGTGATTTGGGTGAAAATTTACAGAATAAATTCACTTTCCATACAGCAGTTTACATACACTTTGTCTTATGACATTGACTACAATTTACCCCAATGCAACAGCACCCCTCCCACTTCCTCCCAATAGTTACCTCTTCCCTGTGTCCATCCCTCCATGCACTCCTACCCCCTGAGCTGTACATTAACAGCCCTTTTTTCTCCCATGACTGTTTTCTCCAAGGAGTGTATCTGCCTCAGGTAAATGTTCAACTCATATGCCTGTCTTTTGTTTGGCTCAAAGCCACAGGTGTGGGTTAAATTCCAGATCTGAAGGGTAGCTAAAAGGCATCGTCTCAGGGGTTCCATCAGGCTCTATCAGACCAGCAAACCTGGCCCCCCCTTTTTTCTTCCAAATGATTTTGAGTTTTGTTCCACATTGTTCTCCCTCTCTATCCAGGATCTCCTACATAGATCTCCCTCCAAGTGGTTGACAGTGGTAGCCAGGCACCATCTAGTTCTTCTGGTCTCATAGTCACATAGGCTATGGATTGCATAGCGTTCCAGTTGCTAGGACTGATTGTTTCCATGAATCTTTGGTTTTCTTCTCTCTTCTTTGCTCTGAACAAGGAGAGACCCATTATTGTGTCTAGATGGCTGCTTGCAAGCTTTTAAGATCCCAGTCGCTACTCACCAAAGTAAGAGGTGGAACAATGTTTTGTGTTGTACATTATACCAATTGAGCTTGATGTCCCCTGCGACTATGGTCCCAAGCCCACCAGTTCAACTACTCAGTCCCTCTGGGTAGTTGGCTGTGACCAGGAAGTGACTACAACCTTGCCCCTTGTCAGCTCTACTATACACCTGGGAATTCTTACAGATCATACAAATACACTTATAGGATCATTGAAGATATGACCTTTTTAATTGCCCCTTATGTATGCAAAAACTGAATAGTGAAAAAAGGAAGACCAAAGAATTGATGTGTTTGAACTGTGGTGTTGATGAAGAATACTGAATATACTGTGGATTGCAAAAATAACAAGCAAATGAGTCTTAAGCAAAATACAACCAGAATGTGTCTTGGAAGCAAGGATGGCAGGACTTCAACCTGCTTACTTTGGATACTTCATCAGGAAAGACCAATTGCTAGAAAAGAACTAAGAAAGGGCTGCAGCCCCACATTTGACCTCTAGGTGCCACTACATAACAGTGTGATATTGTGTCAGTATATTATATGTTGGGAGCCCTGGTAGCATAGAGCCTAAGGCACTTGACTGCTAACCAGAAGGCTGGTGGTTCAAACCCACCAGCCACTCCTCAGAAGGAAGATGGGGCAATCTGCTTCCATAGTGATACTGCCTCGGAAACCCAAGGAGGGGTCACTATGAGTCGGGTCCGACTCGATGGTACATAACAACAACAACAATATTATATATTGTGGGTGCATATAGATATAAAAAAGGAGGCCTGGTGGCTCATCAGTTAAGCACTTGGCTGCTAACTGAAATATTGGTAGTTCAGAGCCACCCAGTGGCATTGTATTCTGAGAAAGAGCTGGTGATCTACTCCCATAAAGATTCAGAAAACCAAACCAAACTCACTGCCATTGGATTGCAGCCTAGAAAACCATATGAGGCAATTCTGCTCTGTCACATGCAATCTCTATGAGTTGAAATTGGCTCCAATAACTGAAAGAGTACAGGTGGCAATTTTAATGTCAGACAAAATAAACTTTAAGTCAAAATGCATTAGAAAAGATAAAGAAGGACATTATATAATGGTATACAAAGCAAACATTGATAGAATTGAAAGGAGTAATAGACAATTGTACATTAATAGGTGGACACTTCAATACACTACTCTTGATAAGGGACAGACCATCTAGAAAGAAAATCAGTAAGGAAACATCGCACCTGAATGACACTATAGCTGACTGTACTTAACAGATATATTTGGAACACTACACCCAACAACAGTACAATATACATGTTTCTCCAATGCAGATAGATCATTTCCAGGATAGACCACATGTTATATCATAAAGCAAGTCTCAATAAATTTTAAAAATATTGAAATAATACACAATATTTTTTTCTGAATGCAAGGAGTGAAATTAGAAATAAGTAACAGAAAAAAAATGTGGAAAATACACAAATATATGGAAATTGAACAATGTACTTTTCAACAACAAATGGGTCAAGGAAAAAGTCAAAGAGAAGTCAGAAAATACTTAGAGTTGAATTAAAATGACAATACACCTTATCAAAATTTTTGAGACAGCAAAAGTGGTTCTCTGAGGGAAATTTATATTGTATAAGCCTATATTAAAAAGGAGGAAAGATCGTGAATCAATAACCTAACTTTACAATGTAAGGAATTAGGAAAAGAAGAGTGAACTAAATCAAAAGCAGTCAAAAGAAGGGAGATAACAAAGTTCAGAGCAGAGATAAATGAAATAGAGAATAAACAAATAATGAAGAATGAAACCAGAAGTTGATTTTTTTCAAAAAGATAAATAAAATCAATAAGACTTTGGCTTCTGACAAGAAGAAAAGAAAGAAGATGCAAATATATAAAATCAGAAATGAAAGAAGGTGGGGACATTACAACAGACCTGACAGAAACAAAAAGGATCATTAGAGAATACATCAGAGAACAATTATATGCTGCCAAACTATTAAATATGGCTGAAATGGACAAACTTCTATAAATACATAAAGTACCTAAATTGACTTGAGAAGAAATAGAAGAAACAACAGGACCATAAAAAGTGAAGAGATAGAATCACAGCCTCACAAGAAAGAAAAGTTGTGGAGCAGAGGGCTTCTCTAGGGAATTCTGCCTGTGGAACAGGTGACCCCAATCCTTCTTAAACTTTTCCAAAAAACAGATTTAGGAGTGAAAATTTCCTAAGTCATTCTATGAAGCTATGAAGCTAACATCACTCTGATACTAAATCCAGAACACATCATCACAAGAAAAGAAAACTACAGATCAATATTCCTTATGAATGTAGATGCAAAAATCCTTAACAAAATACTAGTAAACTGAGTTCAAAAATATATTAGAAGGATTATGCACAACAATCAAGGATTTATCTCAGGAATGCAAGGGTGGTTCAACATTAGAAAATAACTGTAATACTGCATATTAATAGAATAAAGGATAAATGCCACAACAATCATCTCCATTGAAGCATTTGAAAAAACCCAAAACATTTTCATGATAAAAACACTAAACAACCTTAGGAATAGAAAAGTAATTTCTCAAAATGATAAAAGACATGCATGAAAATTGCACAGATAACATCATACTCACTGGAGAAAAACTGAAACCTTTTCCTTTAAGGTCAAGAACAAGACGAAGATGCCTGCTCTTATCATTGCTATTTAATATTGTACTGGAAGTTCTAGCCAGAGAAATCAAGCAATAAAAAGAGATAAAAGAAACCCAAACAGGAAAGGAAAAAGTAAAACTATCCTTTTTCACTGTTTACATGATTCTATATACAGACCTCAAAGAATCCACAAGAAAGATATGAGAACTATTAAGTAAATTCAGCAAAGTGATAGGATACAAGGTCGAAACATAAAAATAAGTCAGATTTTTATACATCAGCAATAAGCAAGATGAAAAAAAAATCAAGAAAACAATTTTATTTACAATAGCAGTTAAAAGATAAATACCCCTGGATAAATTTAATGAGGGAGATGAAAGACTTGTACACTGAAAGCTATAAAACATTACTGACACAAATTAGAGAAAACCTAAATAAATGGAAGAATACACGAAGCTTATGGATTAGAAGATTTAATAT